CGAACTGTGTAGATTGAATGATTGATATGCATACTTATCTTTGAGGTAATAAGTTATCAGAAACTAGGAAAGTGACAATACATCAAACCAACAAAATTATATAAATAATCAAAACTTCGAGTTTTACGTGAACGTGTCAAAGCATATCCATGTGTTCGAAGTTGTGGCTGCATGTTGTGGTAAAAACCCTAACCACATGAAAATATGCATATATTTATAAATTTATATAACCTATGATGAAAATAGTTATTGTAAACTTTTAAACATATGGGTACCTTTCAATCATTTTCTCCCAAAAAAATAGAAATAATTCAAACGCTAATAGATTGGAATGATTGAGTGTGTTTTTGACATTACGGATTTTAGTTTGTCATTCTAGAATAACCGAAAAATTGCAGTGTTCTACTATATACGGAGATAGATATTTAAGAGTTTTTTTCAAAGATATTTTTGATGTTTTAACCAAAAAAATAGAAGAAGAAAAAAGCTATTTTGAGGTAGACGACATTAATATTATTAATATAAATGCAAGGAAAGCATGTGTTAGTGGAATTACGTTGCCTTGCACGTAATTACCCATTTCGTCTTTCCATGACGTTACCTTATGCCACGTGCACTTCTTCACATTTTTATCTGAGAAAATCCTCTTTAACAAAATTTCAAATTTAATTTATCAAAATTGTGTTAACATTAAGTTATATTTTATAAATGGTTTTAGTAAATTAGTTTTTATTAAGTGAGTAGAATCCACGTAATAGTTTCAATAAAAAATGATAAGATTGTTAGATACCGATTTGTATTTCGCATGTGGAATTCAATTCATTTGCTAAGTCTCAATTATTATTTGTATAATTTTAATACCAATCAAGTTTTATTTGGTTAGAAAGTGGAACTATTATAGAGTAGTGGTCATTAAATACAATCCAACCAAAAAAAGGTTAACATCACCTTGACGAACACGTAACATACATACTTCCAATTATTCACAATCATTTTCCATTCATTCATCAGTTCTGGTTCCTTTCAAAATCAATAATTTGGTTTTAACTCACTAAACCAGTTCTTTTTCTAATTTGAATTTTCCGGTTTAACAGTGAACCAGGGATTGGCGACACTAGCGTTCTTTGGAGTTGGAGTGAATTTGGTGTTGTTCCTAACGCGCGTTTTGCAGCAGAATAACGCAGACGCAGCTAACAATGTTAGTAAATGGACAGGAACTGTTTATATCTTCTCACTGGTCGGAGCGTTTCTCAGCGATTCTTACTGGGGGCGTTACAAGACTTGTGCTATCTTCCAAGTCATTTTTGTCATCGTAAGTAAAAATAATACAAAAACAAAACGTTAATTTTCGATTTTCGCGATTCGGGCATTGCGGTTTTAGTGTAAAGTTTGAAACTTTAAGCTTATTTGTGAATCTTTTATCGCGGTTAGGGCTTTGAGTTTTTAGCTGTTATAGTGTAAAGTTTGAAACTGTAAGCTGATTAGAACCCCTCGTTTGGATGTGAAAACGCAGGGAATTTCCTCGCTATCGCTGTCATCGTACATGTTCTTGATCAGGCCAAGAGGTTGTGGGGATGAAGTCACGCCTTGCGGTACGCATTCCTCGATGGAGATCACAATGTTCTACCTCTCAATCTACTTAATCGCGTTGGGATATGGCGGATACCAACCAAACATTGCAACGTTGGGAGCAGATCAATTCGATGAGGAGCATAAAAAAGAAGGGTATTCAAAGATTGCATTTTTCAGCTACTTCTACCTTGCTTTGAACCTCGGATCGCTCTTTTCGAACACTATCTTGGGATATTTCGAGGATGAAGGAATGTGGGCACTTGGTTTTTGGGCGTCTACTGGCTCTGCTCTCTTAGCTTTGATTCTTTTCCTCGTTGGAACGCCAAGATACCGATATTTCAAGCCCACGGGGAATCCTCTTGCGAGGTTTTGCCAAGTTTTGGTCGCTGCAACGAAGAAATTATCGGTCGAGGCGCCATCAAAAGGGAGAGAGGAGATGTATGACGCAGATACCCAAGGGAAAAATGCTCCAGGGAATACAGGGAGGAGGATAATGCATACCGATGAATTCAAGTAAGTTGCGGAAAAAACAGAGGATTTCACATATACTTAAAATGCTGTGAAGTGTTTTTGAAAATGTTTCTTTCGGACTTGTAGGTTCTTGGACAAAGCGGCCTACGTCACAGCAAAAGATCTTGATGACAAGAAACAAGGAGGAGTGAATCCTTGGAGGCTATGTCCGGTTACACAAGTCGAGGAAGTCAAGTGCATTCTCAGACTGATGCCGATTTGGCTCTGCACTATAATCTACTCGGTCGTCTTCACCCAAATGGCTTCTCTGTTTGTGGAGCAAGGAGCAGCAATGAAGACCACTGTGTCGAACTTCAAAATCCCTCCTGCTAGTATGTCCAGCTTCGACATCCTTAGCGTCGCTCTGTTCATATTCATATACCGCAGAGTTCTCGAGCCACTAGCCAACAGATTCAAGAAGAAGGATGGAACAAAGGGAATCACCGAGCTTCACAGGATGGGGATCGGGCTTGTGATTGCTATCTTAGCAATGATTGCAGCCGGAGTTGTAGAATGCTATAGGCTTAAATATGCAGACAAGAGTTGCACTCACTGTGATGACTCAAGCTCCTTAAGCATCTTTTGGCAGGTAATGAACACAAACCCATTTCGGTCCTAAACTCAATCACTTACAGAGGAAATTCTTGAGTCTTGACAATCTTCTCCTCTTTACAGGTTCCGCAATATTCGTTCATCGGGGCATCAGAAGTGTTCATGTACGTTGGACAGCTCGAGTTCTTCAACGCGCAGACACCAGATGGACTAAAGAGCTTCGGGAGTGCTCTGTGTATGATGTCGATGTCGATGGGGAACTTTGTGAGCAGCTTGTTGGTGACAATGGTGGTCAAGATCTCTTCAGAGGATCACATGCCTGGTTGGATTCCGAGGAACCTCAACAAAGGTCACCTAGACAGATTCTACTTCCTCCTAGCTGCCTTAACCAGCATTGACCTGGTGGTATACATTGCATGTGCAAAGTGGTACAAATGTATAAAACTAGAAGGGAAAGATGAGATGCAAGGCATGAGTGATGATGAAGATAGCACCGACAGCGAAGACTATGAGGAACCAATGAAGGATTCTAAAGTCTAACAAAATGTGTGTTTTGGTTTTCAGTTTTTGGGTTTTCCGGGGGTTGTAACAACAAACTGATTAATAAATAAAGGAATTAAGTCTTTTTCAGCTAAAAGACTTTTACTCTATATCATTAAAGACTTAACGGTCATGTGTTCTATGGGGTTACACTTACTAATAAGATGAGTTAGATAACTAATGAACATTTAGGTACTCACCTAAAACCAGGAAAAAAAAAAGCTTCAATAACTTAAAAATATATATGGTTCTTTGATTCATTGTGAATGATTCAAACAAATATGGATCAGAGCGTGTAAGAGAAAGAAAGCAGAGTAAAGTCAAGATGTTGAAGCTCAGAGAAGTAGAAATATCGATCAACCTATCTTAATCTTACGGACTTGTATGAGATGTGTTGATTCTTCACGCCAGATGGGTTGCGCGCCACTTTGGACAAGAGTTACATGTTGTCCTTCCTTAAGCATATTCTCGTCCTGAGCGATATATAACGGAAATGTACTCAAAAACTGCATATGCGATTAGAGATGATTATACAATGAGAATGAACATGGTTAATGTACCTCTAAGAGTTTCAGAGACCGAGCATATGTATCTTCTGCATCGTTAGAGAACTCCATATATATAGGCATTACACCTTGATAAAGAGCCAGCCTTTGCATTATCCTTCTCCTAAAGAAAAGAAACAATCATATCATATCAATCAAAAGCCAATTCTTCGATTAAAAGTTGCATACATATATGACATTTCCTGAATGACATAAACAAACACTCACTGGTTTGTGAAGGCGAAAATTGTTGAGGATGGACGGTAATGGCTTAAAAGAACCGCCATGGATCCAGTTCTCGTGAATACAATTATCGGTGTGCTCAATGTATTCGCCATTATAGAAGCATGAAAAGCAAACATTTGGCCCATGTGACCCTGCAGCAAAAATGTAGCTATTAATATTCAAATTTAAGTAACGAAACATTTAATACTCTGATACACGGATCATGTGAGTGAGTACCTTATAAGCAGTGGTACGGATTGCTGAGGTTCTAACAGGTAGACTTGCCTCGGTCCTCAACGCCACAGTATGCATTACGTTAACAGCTTTCAGCGGAAACCTGACAATAGAGAATCACAAAAAGAAGAACAAGAACATTTCAAGATCACATGGCATTGTAATTTCTATTGATGGAAAAAGTAAAGGGTTTAGCTTGAAATACGAACTTTCCATGCGCAGTTTCACCAGAAAGCATGATTGCATCTGCACCTTCACGTACTGCAATTGCAATGTCAGAGACTTCAGCTCTTGTAGGCGTTGGATGGTTAATCATACTCTCTAGCATATTTGTGGCGACAATCACTGGTTTATGAATGCTCCTACACCTTCTGATTATCTCTTCCTAAATCACGGCATAATAACAACAAAATGATAAACACCAACAGAGAGTCTAAGGTAATGTTTCGTAAACCAAGTCTAAGATTTACCTGTAACAAAGGGACCTCCTCAATGGGAAGTTCTGCTCCAAGATCTCCACGAGCAACCATTGCCTAGAGGAACATTTATAACTCGGTATCAGCATCAATAAATTAACTCTAATCATAGAAAAGACTTTGAAACCAACCCCATCACAAGCAGATATGATCGAAGGAAGATTCTTTATAGAATCCGCGCTCTCAATTTTCACGATCACCGATATATCCGCACTGCAGGCTATCAAAACATTTGGAAGTTTCATTAGTTTTACAGAAATTTCACCAGGAGATGAAGAAAAAGAACAACACTTACTTTTGAGATAGTTCTTCAACTCATGAACAACTTTAGCATCCTTAACAAAGGAAACAGCATAGAAATCAACTTGGTTGTCCACTCCAAATTTTATGTCTTCCCAATCTTTGTCTGAAAGCGAGTCAAAATTCAGAGTACGGTCATTCAACAACACAAGCTAAAAAAGCCTTCTTGATGTTAAAAAAAAAATTGGAGAAACAGTAGCTGATATCAACCTGTTATTGAAGGAAGAGTCGCACTCTTTCCTCGAACATTCAAGTGACGTCTAGATTGAAGCTCTCCACCATCAATAACTACACATTTCACCAAATCGCTCGTCTTCGATTTAACAGCTAACGACATCATTCCACCTACCATATAAAGACACAAGAAGCCATCTCTTGTTACAAATCAACTCCAATAACCACAAAGATACACAGTAACTCTTAGATTTTAGTATTTACCATCCACCAAAAGTATGTCCCCAACTTCAACATCGTTTACAAAATCGTCATAGTTTACACTAACGGTGTCTTTAAGCGAAACACCTCTCTTGATCGTAAAATTAAACTCTTGACCCTGTTCTAAGAATATAGGCTGAGGTACGTCCCCGCTTCGAACCTCAGGACCCTTTCACACAAAACAAAACCAAATCAAATGAGACTTTTTCGTCGAATTTTCGTTACATGAAACAAGCGAACAAAAACAAAAAAGAAGATTATACCTTTGTATCCAACATTATAGCAATGGTTTTGTCTACAAAGAGAGAATTGTATTCTTTAACAAGATCAATAGTTATCTGATGAGAAGCATGATCACCATGAGACATATTCAAACGAGCTACATTCATTCCTGCTTCAGCTAGTTTCCAAATCATTTCTCGAGAACTCGAAGACGGTCCAATCGTACACACAATCTTAGTTTTCCTCTTCGAATCATTACTCCTTGTTCTTGCTTCCGCAAATTTATATGAATACACTTCAGAATCTTCCTCCAATACTCCCTAACAATCGAAAAATTCG